TTCCACCTTTCTCTTCCTAAAATTTTATCGGTCGCTTACTTTGCACAGTGGAGAGGCTGTAGTAACTGATGTCAAAGTTTGAGAGAAAGAAATAGTAGAAAAATATATAGCAATATCATATCTTTTTCACTTGAAACAAGTTAGTTATATTGATATGGCCCCCTTATCGGCGTTTTCTTTTCATGTAGGTTCACATAATTGATTCGTTACCAGAATTTTATCCCAAAGTGGAAGCATGGGTGGAGGATGTCATAATGGAGGAAGGAAATGCAACAATTCTTACCCTATTTGTATGCCTTCTAACAGTGCTTTACCTTCGTGAGCGGCAGCGCAGGCATGTCGCTGCTGCTGGAGAGGTTGCTTTCCCTCATCAACTTGGTGAGCTAGGTGTGCCTGTAGCCAATTAAGCTGTTTCCAGATAGACTCCATTCTCGGGTTTTTTCTCCACATGGAAGAGTTAGATTCTTTGGCAGAAAGATGTGTAGAATTTTTTTTCTCGCTTTGGTCATAGAGAGCTGCCCTTTGTTTTGGGCAATGTTATATATTTGTCATACACAGACTAATAGGATGTAGTGGAAGATTGTCACGACTTGATTTTGCTTTTATTCATTTGTAGTATATATAGATTTCAATACTTCAAAGTTCTAACTGTCTTTGCAGCTTATTTGATAGAGGTTCTAACATAAAGTGCAATAAAAAATTTGACTTCTCCATTTCTCTCCTTCTGTTTCGGGGGCAGCGGGGTTGTGGTAGCTTTTTCCCACTTAACTACTACTTGATCTATTAGATTTTTTGTCATGAGTGACACTTCTAGATAGTACTAGATGTTTGATGCCCGTGCGGAGCACGGGCCCAACAATTCGAGTTGGCCTGTATTAATTCGAGCTAGACTGTATTAGTATTATCTGTTGTTATCTGCAAATACACAGAATAAAAGCTATTTCGTAAATTCAATTATCTTTGGAGCAAATATGGATGAATAGATTTGTTTTGAATAGCATAAAAAAACTGCTTTGTAATCTTTGATAGGAACAATGGGAGTCAATGGTGTTTAGTGTAATTCATTATTTGAAATGGAAAGATTCAAGCATATAATATTTAGATTTTTATGCGAAACACATACCATATTCTTGCATGAAATATTAGAAACCACTGCTGAACTATATTACATGGCCTAACTTCCGATGCAGTATCTTCAAAACATCGGTTGTCCCTTCCCTTCCAAATTGTGACGAGCAAGTACAATATTTATGTTTGTTTCCCTACATTAATCTTCCTTCCTAGCTAGCTTTTGATATATAGTTGGCACAGATTATAGGTTCTGCCATAATCAGTTATGATATCACAAATTTGTATAGCATGAAAACTTGAATCAAACAAAAAGATATGTCCTTCCCAAGCATACATTAATTTTTACCCAAGCAGAAGGAAGGAAAACAACCTTTTAACACCAAATTATCTCGCACTTATTGATATTATGTTTGTCTTCTTTCAACCTAAACGTTACTCGGACCAAACACTTCCTCGTAAGCACTGGGGAATTCAGACGACATTCCTGAAGGTAGGTAAGTGATGTTTGACTAAAAATTCATGTTTTTGCATGCAATTTGTCTTGCATTATACCTCAATCTAGTTAATTTTTATGTGAATATTTGTGACTCGAGCTTAATAATGTTATTTATATGTGTAGGGGTCAATTGGAAGTGATTTGGGGAGTTTGCATGCAAATTGACGTCAAAAAGGGAAGAATTTGGAGGAAGTATAAGTTTGGTGACCAGGTTGGCGCTAGGCACCTACCAAAATGCCAATGGCAGAAGACCAAAAAGTTTGTTGTCCAGGTTGGTGCCAGGCGCCAAGCGAGACGCCAAAGGGTGGATTTTGTCCTAATTCGGCTGAGACTTGGGGATTTCAACCCTACACGTCCCCAACATGTATAAAAGGGGTTCTAAACCTATTTTTGAGGGGCTAACATATTTTGGACCAAGGGAGAGCACGAAACCGTCGTGGAGGCCGAAATTCATCAGATTCCATCTTTCTTCCATCAAACTTAATAATCATTACGTTTATTTGGATGAATTGTTGTTTTGCTACCATATCTATGTGGAGCTAAATTTCGCGTTTTAGGGTTATGGTTATCATGAATATTGAAGTTTATTAATTACATCACCGTTAATTCGAGTTATCGTTGTTGGTTGTTTCTATAATTCTGTGTATAATTGCTTAATTGTTTGGCCACCAGTTGAGTTCTATTTACTATTTATGCTATGCTTGGGAAAGTCGTGTTTAGATTAGAGTAGAATTAGAGAGAGCTTGTTTCTGAACCCGTGGCTCGGGGAGAGATTTCGCGGTTAGGATAGGAATATACTTAACAGTCTTGCTTAGTTGAATATCGTACTATATTCGTTCATGATAGACTCAATACCATAGGAATATAGGATTGATATATTGTGGATAGGCGAATAGTATTGTGGGAACATGCTATTCATATAAACTATCCGGTCAACTAGCAATCATAGATAATTCATATTAACAGGTGTAATTACGAAATTAATAGGATTGACAAACCGACTACAACCCTGGAATCTTCATCTCCTTTGATTAAAATCCAACCACAATCGTTTGCTCCTAATTAATTTAGCTAATTGCTTGTTTAATTTCTGCAAAAGTAGTTTAGCAGAAAAATAATATTTTTTATTATCTTGGACAGTATATTGATTTTAGTTTGCTTAGTTAACGATTAATCTAAGTCTCTATGGGTTCGACATCCGACTTTCGAGTCACTTTATTACTTGACGGCCACGTATACTTGCGTACTTGGGGAACCAACAGTAGGCAAGATTATGCGTTCACACCAGAAAATTCACCAAGTGTGTATCCATCTTCTTGTCCAGCATCTGAAAAAATTCGGGATATGCCTAGCATGTAATTAAGGTTTCATACTGTGATCAAATTAATATTCCAAAGCCTTTATAATTTGTGAAAACAAAGAAGAAGAAAAATGCATATCCAACAGGGAGCTTGGAACGATAGAGAACGTAGACTCTTGTCTAAGCTTTCAAAGAAAAACTTATGCTTCCGTGATTACTTGGGGGACAAAAATTAAAGCTCTACGATGCGTAGCAAACACCATACCACTTAACTTAGTCAAACTAGATCAGTTTTAAGGCTGTCTAAACCCATGAGTTTGTTGGTAAGGTAAAAAATACAGCAGTCAAGAAGTACTTACACCTTTTTATTTTGTATATTCAGAAGGAATTATGTGCTCGAATAATTATGTCACACATTACCCCTCAAGATGTATAGTGATAAGACAGCCTTGTATGATGCATAAATGAAAGAGTAGTTCATGTTAAAATGCCAGCCCCCCACTCATATAATGTAACTATCGATGAAATCAGAGAACTAAATTTTAGCTACATTCGTAAAAACTCGGAGAGTAGGGGAATAAAGGTTTTTAATTCTTCCTTTCATCTTTTATAGATAAAACTGATAATACCTCGAAATTCAATCTTAAAAGTTTATCAACTTTAAACTTCCACAAAAACAAAGGAAAAATCATCTTTGGAGAAAGTCCTTCAACCCTACAAGGAAAATCATTCTGTCACAAATTCACAGTATTGTATCAAGAGTACTCAAGAATAGAAAACTTAAAATATTATAAAACACTAAACTACATCTTTGGAAAACTTTTCACACACTTTATATGAACCAGGAGTTATTGAAGCTAGCCATAAATCAGGGAAGAGTCTTAAGATGCTCTGCATGTTTGTTTAAAGTATAATCTAGAAAAGGAAAATCACAAGTATGGAATCAATGATTTCACTAAATCAACATGATAGGAAGAGCTAGCTACAGTTTTGGTAGTAAAAGTATTTGGAACCTTAAAGACGTGTCCTTTTTTTTCGTTTTTATTTTGTCATTATTTATGTTCTACAAATCAACTATGATTATTGGTGTACTCATTTGAGCTCTGTGCAAGTATTTCTAGGGTGCACCAAGTCAAAAACATTAAAAGAAAAAGCCATGAAAAAAAACTAATTTTATGTTTTAATTGTCCTCAGTGAATTTATATGATTAGTTCACCATCTGCACATGAGCGAACATATTAATATCATCAAATATAGTTACAATTTTGTTGTACACCTAAGATCTTTTTCTTTCAATTTTTACCTATCTTCTTTTGTTCTTTTCAAAATTTTCAGTTTCATGGCGGGAAATTCATGGCTGTTGTTATAAATCTTGAATAGATAGCATTCATATTCCGATGGAAAACCCCACCCTTGATATATGAATCAGCCGATTTAATCGACTCTATTAAACTCATTTTATCAAATTCCCTTCTTTTTTAATTTCTTGATCTGCATTTGCAACTTACATCTTCTTAGTTGGCTTAACAGAGAATCCTTGGTTGGATACTTCTGTGACAAGCAGGAATTTTTAAAGACTAATGGTATCATTGGAAAGGAGGTTGATAGTAGTCTCCGAAGAGAGAGCAAAAAGATGATTCTCCATAGTTCCGTCAGCATAGTTGGCCAAAAAGAAAGGAAAGTGGTAATACACGTGGCAAAATATGAAGAAATTGGATAATGCCAAGTACAGGGTATAATTAATACAGCTTTTTGTACAACTCTTCAATGCAGTGGTCGACCATCTCACGGCTCTTCTATATAATAGATAGAAAAATATACCAACTTTACAGAATGTCAAATTTGATAATCGGCTTGGAAAATTCACGAACTAGCTTACTATCTAATTAACCAATTAGGTGAGAAATTGTGCGTTTTACACTTTAGCAGTTAAATTTCCTAAATAAAGTTACCATCTCCTGTTTCATGTACCAAGTTTAAATTAAGAAGTTTTGAATAGCAAAGAAAGTACTTACATGATTCTGTTTTTTATTATTTTCACTTGAATTTTTCCTCTAAGGATTCTCATTTTCTTTTAACAAAAAAGTTTATAAGCTAAAACCCCACGCATTTCTCTTCTATTAATCAACAAGCGAAAGACAAAAGTGAACACTGTTAAAATTCTACATAATGTTATAATTACAAGTTATAACAGGACAAAATAACAAAAGAATTCACAAACATCTCGTAGTTGCTGAAGTAACATAGAGAGGAAAAAAATGCAAGCATATATATATATATGTGTTATTACCGCTTTCATATCCACTTGCCCGAAGCACCAAAAAACTAAGTCAACCATATTTGTTGTAATGATATCCTTGATCAATTGTATGAGCTGATCTTAAGCTACGTTAGTAAGGCTTTGTCCAAAGTTGCTGCTCGTATTTTGACTGCTTCTTTGCATCCCTGGGGCGTTCACAATCGCACTTCTTGCAGACCATGTTTCTTCTGTAGTTCAAGAAGTCACATCTGTACAAGAATCCAAAAGTATGATGAGTAGAATCCACAAAACAAAACCATGCAGCATCAAAGAAAAGTTACTCACGAGGGGCACTCCCACTCTCCCGGATTCAGCTGTCTCTTTGGGCGCAGCTCTGGGCAGCGTAAGCATTTGGTATTGCTAGCAAAATTCATGAAGGCACATCTACAAAGACCCCAAAAAGAGAGAAAAGAAGAAAGGAGAATTGAGAACCCACACCAGTGACAAGGAAAAGGGAAAACGAGTTGGAAGGAGCCATGAAGACTACAATAACAAGATCAATTCAACAACATCCTAATATTGTTCGTAGATTAATAAAAAGGACAGAGTATTTTCTAATAATAAGCAAACAATGTGATATTGCAGTAGGCACACTAGCATGTTTATAGCGAACTGATATCAGTTTATAAAGAGAGTAAGTCGGTAATATTTATAGTAGGCCAATGATATCCACAGTTGAGTCATAAGCTATGAAACAATATAATTTGCCAAGTGAGGTTTTAAGAATAGATCTGCTTCATAACAGCAGTATATTTTTTTTGATAAACTGTGCGATATTTAGTTTTCATTAAGAAGAAAAGGAAAACTATGGGATATTTAGTAGCTGGTAAATTATATGACGTAACAACATACTGTGGGCAAGTCCAATCTCCAGTTTTCATTTCTTGAACCTTTGACACACGAGCATCTTGACTAGGTCCTTCTGCTTTGCATCTCAGGCATTGTGCATTGCGGGAGAAGTTCATANCTGTGAAGTCCTCCAATAATACTTGACAGAATTATTGAGTGCATATCAAACATACAGGTAAAACACAAACACACAAGGCAAAGTAACTGAGAACTTACTGCGAACAGATCCAATCTCCTTGCTTCATATCAACATTAGAATCTTTTTTATCTCCCCTACAGAGAAGAATGGTACATTCCAGTGAGCATCAGTTTTTTGATTTTAGAATCTAATATTGAAAAATGATTATCTCATCCCAATGCATTTCAACTTATAAGCAACAAGAAAAATCTTAAAATAGGAAAGGTGAAATCTATAAATAACCTCTTACAAGAAGTACAATTATTCGCTTGAATAAATCAGTATGAGCAGCCACTGACCACAATAATAGATAGGAGGTTTTAGGCCTCCATGGCTTTTTAAATGTTGAAATTAAGAAAATATCTTTTTTAGCTCTTATGTGTAAACGCAAATCTCCCATGTATAAAAAAAGAGATGGGGTCATAAAACTAAAAACAAGTTTGTAATGGGCCACAAAACCATTTGACCCCATACAATAGTAACAGTAACCATCATGTCCACACTTCACACCAGTGTGATCCTAACTTTCTCAACTTACTACCCCTTATCCTAAGTTAGCTTAGAGTTTAAGCCGAACGCGCAATTTGCATGTATGAGTTAACAGTTAAACCACAAACATCCGAAGTTTGATATAGATATAGTAGAACATAACGGCCGATACATTTTCTAAAATAACTTGATAAGATTGGAGCTTATGGATTGAGGAAAAGTTAATGGGAAAAGCAGTAAGAAGTTCTACTGGAGGGTTAGGTTTTTCTTTTGGGTATGATTATCATATAAAAAGCTAACCACCATAAGTTAATAGTTAGTCTCTTAATACATATTAGTGCAAAATTTCAACAATGCGTGAAGGGTTAATCAAGTTTAAATAGAATTAATGTTTTCCTGCTTAGACTTTTGTAGTCCAGGATAAAGGACGTACAAGTTATGTTATATCAATGGAACTTGTACGGTATTGATATCAAGGCACATAAGTTACAGTATTCCATTTTACTATGCAAGAACTACAGTATTTTCCTTTTACGGAAAAAATCATAATAACCTCCAAGAAGACTTACTCAAGACCAATTGAATCTCTTCTTTTCATTTGAACATTTTCCTGACCATCCTTTCTTGAACGAAGAGACTGTTTTTTATGTGGAGAGGCCTTGGGAGCAGGTCTTGGATGCTCAGGATCAAAAGGCGTTTCACTTAATTCAACCAACTCTGAGAGCAATTTTCTTGAAGATACCTCAATAAGCTCTCTACCAGGAGACATTGCTCCGCTTGAGATAATGGCAGGATCTAAGGCATAGATAAGCAAGACTCGCACAATATCTACTGTACGTGCAACACCCTCATCATCCTTCAATATCAAGTAAGCCCTATCACATGATCCACGGAGAATGCAAGCACCGCATACCTGCAAGTAAGTTCCTTACATAAACCCTCAAAGAACAAGCTCACTGAAAGAAGATGACACTTGAACTGCAATCAATATAACTCGTCCTGAATAGAAACTAAGAAACAATACTACAACAACAACAACAAACCCAGTGTAATCCGATAAGCGGGGTTCGGAGAAATTAAGAAACAATGAATTTTAAAAATTAAAAAGGCAACTCACCTCTCCTTCATCAAGGTTTAGATGCAGCCTTAGCCTTTTCCCCGAGTTAACGACCTTCCTGAATAGATTAGGGCAGCCCTTTTCCACAACTGTCTGCATATCTTGGTTGGACAACTTTCTGCAAAGTAATACACAAATGCTTTCAAATTTCAGTTGAGGTGGCAATTGCAATACATAATCTCAGTCAGATATTGAAGTCTCTTGTCTTTCCTCGAGAAAGCAAACATTTAGAAAGTTTCTGACAACCAATACAGACAATTTCCAAGTCAAATGTGTTAATTTCATGGGCTTTACTTTATTATTAATATTATCATCATTATCCTTTTTGTGTTTTGTTTTAGCCTCTTCTAAATTTGAAAATAGAAACCAAGGATGCATACAAAGGATTCCCATTATTATTCCAACGGCCACAAATCTAAAGTATAGCAGACATTAAGTAGATTATCAATTTAACTTATAAAAAAAATAATTTTATCCTTGAGGAAAGTTTCAATCTTTGAGCCCATTAGTATCTTTTTTGCAAACGGAACCCTTATAAGACTGTAATACCAGCTTTCCTTTCCCATTTACTTAATTTCATTGACAAGCAATGTGCACTGCAACAGCTAAACTGTAAAAAGCAGAACTTTCTTACTTAAAAATGTCGGAACGGTCGCGAGAGAAGTTAAGACAAGCATCTTTTAATAGAGTCATATCCGTATAAATACTCGCATCGCCATCTTCTCTCTTACTTTCAGTGAAGTATCCTTTGCTTTTCAAACGGTCCACGAAAGCTACCCATTCAGGCCAAGGATGATTCCTAGTATTGACCACTGGTTCGATTGTATTGGTCTCAAGTGTAGCTGAAGTACAATTGTACCTGCGGAACCGTACAACAGGGGAAAGCAATGGCTTAGTGAATCGAATTGAAGAGAATGTAGTAAAGGTGTTTGTAGGCTTATTATGGTTTCGGACAATAGACGCTCCGAGAAGAAAGAACAATCTAGAAGCTGACATTTTTACAGTATTAAAATGGACTGTGAGATTTAGGTTTCTTTAGAAAACCATGGAAGTTGAGGTTCAAGAAAGTGCAGGGTTTTTGATAGGGTTTTGATGTTCAAAGATCACCCTTTTTTGATAATTTTCGTTGCCGGCGGCATTGCCAATAAATGAGAAAAATTAAGGGGGTGAAAAAACAAAAAAGGCATTTGCATCTGCAGTCCGCGAAATTTAATTAGATAAGCACCTTCGTCCCTCTTGATAAGGCGAAACTTATTTTTATTACGTAAAGAATATCTTTTCTCACGAAATATAATTTTGGTGTTTAACTAGTGTGTGAAAATGTGTTTCCAAAAAGTATTGAATACTACTAATAATATTAGCAAATTAGATAATATTTTAAAAAAATAAGTACTAGAGATTAATAGTAGTGTTTAGCCATTAGTTGGAGTAAGTAATAGTATAAAATCAAAAGTTAAGTTATTTATTAAAAGAAATTACTTGCGCTCCTAAGTGATGGAAGTTATTTTTCTTCTTTTAGTAAATAATATTTTATTGAATAATATTTTCTTGTAAAATTTAGAAAATAATTTTTTTTCGTAAAAAGTTTCTTATTAAAAAATAACTTCCATCGTAGAAAGTATTACTTTAAAATTTATTATCATAAAATTCTTTCATAAATAAACAAATGTATAAATAAATTTTTTTTTGAGCTTTTCAGGGGGCATTTGGTGATAAATTATCCATTTGTATTCATTAAATTAATTTTAATATTAATTCTTATTTTTTTAACCGATATTACTTCAATTCTTAAGGTAGAGTAAAGAGTAATTTCATTCAAAGTAGTGATTGAAACAAATACGAATAACTAATGTATCATCATTAATTTTATGTAAAGTTAATTTAATAATTAATTAATAAAACACTTATTTTTCATGATATTTTTGTAATAGTAATGCCCAAAGTGAAAAGATAATTAGATTGTCTAAACAATTTCCTGAAATATATAAATATGAATATATGATTACTAATGTCTAAACAATTTCCTGAAATAGTTTAGTAATTCCAAAGATGCGAGGCTTATTTAAAACAGTCAAAATATTACGGGGGCGTCTAGCAAAATTGGCGGAAAATTCCTACCTTTTACCAATAAGATTCACATCCCAATTCAACTACTTGAATTCCCAGCTCAGAATGCTGTAACATTCTATCTAGGTTTCCACTGTTCTATCCTCACCTCAACACAACCCCCCACCCCCCCAAAAAAGAAAAAGAATCCCAGAAAGTATTAAAAAAACGAATCCCCAAACTCATACACAAACTGGTATTATCATTTTACTGGATTGTGTCGCTATAGAAAATCAATCTTTGGAGCAAATACAACAGTTGTTGAGTTTTAGTGGTGAATATAATGGCGTCGCAGGCAGCAAATTTGTGGGTATTGTTGGGATTAGGATTGGCTGGAATACTCATAATGACCAGAAAGTTTAAGAAAGCTGTTAAAGCTGACTTTGGAGCTTTTGTTGAACGGCTTCAGCTTCTGCCACCGCCTCAGCCACCTCCTCCTAAAGCTCCTCATCCACTCACTGGCCTCTCTTTCGCCATCTCCGATGTGTAAGCTCCTTTAATACTACCCCTAAAAGAAATATATATGCTCTGAGAAAGAATTGGGAACATTAGTTTTTGTTCTTGTTACTGTTTCTATCTATCTGTAACTTTTTCTTGTTACTATTAAACTTCTTGTGAAATTCGACCCACCAAAAAAAGGTTTAATTTTTATTTGGTGGGAGAGCAGGTGGAATAGTACGGATGTGCATCAAGCTGGCCCCAACACCACCGTCATAACCAAAAAGATTCATTTTGTATTTTCCAAGTGGGTTGAAATATGGCAGAATGAATAAAGAGGACTTAAAAAGCCAGAATTCAACAATTTCATAATTTGATATTGAGGCGCAGTTGTTGTTTGATTTTGCAATTGTATAACAGTCTTACTTGAATGTTAGGTTTGCGTAGGCGCCCTTGATGACTGAAGTGAACTTGTTTTCGAAATATACATATTCTGTATGCTGACAGTTTGTCCTCATCTGTTTTGAGTTACTACTACTGATTTATGTTGGGAAAGAGAGCCTCATAGGTGCCTTGTCAAATTTCTGTATAGGTTTCTATAAAGCTAAATTCTATCTGGAGAGTGTGCCGCACATGAAGTAGGATTCTCTTTCTTGCTGCACTTTTGCTCCCACTTTTTTTATCAATCTTTTCTTTTTTCTAGTCCAATTCCCGTTGGAGGTCTATTTGAAATTCATTTGTTTATTTTTGGGATACACTTCTTTCCAATTTCTTGAATTCATATATGTTGGAACTACTGAAGTCATTGAATTTTGATTGCCCAGATTCGATATCAATGGATTTGTGACAGGGTTTGGAAACCCAGACTGGTCAAGGACTCACGAACTTGCTAGTCAGACGTCTGCCGTGGTTTGTGCACTTGTTGAAGGAGGAGCCACATGTACTGGAAGAACTATTGTAGATGACATGGCATTTGGGTTTGTTCCTGAACTTTCCACTGGTTAAAGTTTGACTCTTTTCTAAAATTAGTATGCACAGGATGCAGGATCCTGAATTTAAAATTTGGAAGTATGTGCTGAAGTGCGAGTTAGTTGTTAATTTTTTGGCTAGTGTTAGGTTTCCCATTTGTGTCGTGGTACACATATTTCTGCTGCACTTTATAGTCTTTCTCGTGTTGTTGATTATTCCTGTCATGTTATTACTGTACAGTATTAGTGGAGAACATATCCACTACGATACTCCAACAAATCCTGCTGCTCCCGCACGGATTCCAGGAGGATCATCTAGTGGAGCTTCTGTTGCTGTGGCTGCAAAGTTTGTTGATTTTTCCTTGGGTGAGTCTTTCATATCTCAAACTATGTCGATCTGTTGCCAAATATTTTTGTGTGGATTAAGCGTGCATCATAGTGCATCATGTTTATAGGAAATGAATATAGACTAATTACTGGTAGGCTCTTCTGAGTTACAGTACAATTTGTTATCCAGGAACTGATGCTGTTGGAGGTGTGAGAGTACCTGCTGCATACTGTGGAGTTTTAGGGTTTCGGCCATCTCATGGAACTGTTGCTCACACTGGCGTAATTCCAGTTTCAGCTAGTCTTGACACAGTTGGTATGTGTTGTCAATATATTCACTTGAGATGTGCTATAAAATGCTTCAGTGAATGGCATCTTCTATTCATTTTCACGTCTTTTAACTTCACTTTCTTCTTCTACAAAGTCTTGTGAGCATGACATGTTGGGACTGTAAGAGTATTAGCATTGTCACTATGGAACTTATTTTATTCCAACTTAAGATGACTCAGCATAACGTGTACTCAATTGTGGACTTTCTCATACAGAGCGGACATCGTAGCTGATTTTTCTGGTTTTGAGGGGCAGTAGTAGCTGAACATATTTACATTTGAATGAAAATGCTGTCAAAGGCCTTTTAAAGGGGAAAAAAGAGTGGGAATGCTGGCAAAAGTTTCCAGCAACTCGGTCTTGTACTTTTCTTACCATAACTTGCTCTTTAGCTCGAGTGAAAAGCAGCCCCCCTTCAACCTTGAGGTTGGGGGTTCAGGACACCAAAAGAGTAGTATGGGAAGGGTCACTTTTGACTCCTGCGGAAGAGGGTTGAGGGTGGGATAGATGTCAATGTTACTCTTTTTCGAACATGTTTTATGTTGCTATTGTTAAGTCTTGATTTTAATTTAGGTACTATGAATTTACAAAATACCTAAGTTGAATGTCATGGCTGTGCCTGGTATTCTGTGTTTAGCTATAGTGAATTTGGACCAACTGCAGGATGGTTTGCTAGAGATCCCAGCATATTGCGTCGTGTCGGGCATGTCCTGCTGCAGGTTCCATTTGCTAGTCAGCGTAATCCCAGGAATGTCGTGATAGCAGATGATTGCTTTCAGTCAGTAAATTCTGGTGATCGCGTCAGTCAAGCGGTGATCAAAGCTGTCGAAAAGCTGTTTGGAAGTACGTGTTTGTAGTTTGTGAATCTTATGGCAATTTCTTTTTTATACACCTTCTGAGAATCACCTCTTGCAGGACAAATCATAAGGCATGAAAATCTGGAAGCCTACCTAAACTCAAAAGTTCCTAGCTTAAAACAGTTTGCTAGCAAAAAGTCCAATGGTGAAAGGAAATCTTCTGCAACAAACTTGCTAGCAAAAGTTATGCATACACTTAAGAGGTGAGATTTATCTTGTTGTCGCAGAGATCACTAGACACAGTTATTACTGGTCTGAAGCTTGGAGCATGTTATCTGATGGAAGCTGCAAAAGTAGTTGCGACTTTCTAATCATTTTGTGCTAGTTTTTGCCATGTTTTGGTCACCTGCACCTTGAGTGACTTGCTTGAATAGTAGGGTGGTTATGGGTTTCTGTGCACACACTGAGCTGTGATGAGAAGAAGTTCTAATGTTCTGTCCTACTCTTCCTCAACTATTTTTAAAGCATTTACATGTTAATGCATAACTGACCTACCTGTTGTTTCTTTTAGTGGGGTAATTCGTAGTGTATTATGATGATAATGACATTTCTTGCAATGCCTATCTAAAATTAGTTTTAACGGTTTGTGCACAGACATGAGTTCAAACAAAATCATCTGGAGTGGATTAATGCTGCAAAGCCGAATCTGGACCCTGTTATTTCCGCACAAATGCAAGGAGGACCGGAGATCACAGATTCAAATATTGAAAACTGCCATGCAGTTAGGAATGAGATGCGCTCAGCTCTAAATGATCTTTTGAAAGTAAGTAGTATTGGTATTCATTTAGTTAATGTTGCTTATTATAATGAGTTGCCCGGTTTCTTTCCAACCCATCCCTTGAGTAAGTATTATTACTATTCGTTAGTTGAAGTTGGGATTGCCTGATTTCTTGCAACCTACCCCTTGATTTGGAGGACTAAACTTTGACAAATGCTTGTCCATGTGGATTATGATTTTCAGCTAGTAACTTTATCATATCATATTGTTAAAGTTTGGTAACAATTAAGACCCCTTGTGGCCATTGATTCGTTAAAATTTCTTTGTTATTGACTGTGTCCTTTGTGTTAGGCATTTCATGGTAAAAGCATAAATGCAGTTACTACTTCATGTGGTTTTTTTGTTCGATGAAATGTTGAGAATAAAAGATGAAACTCTGCATGACTTGAATACCTGTTTTGTATGGTAGAGTCTGTCATTTACCTGACTAATTCTCTACCTCAGCTCATTGGATATGTGTAAGTAATCTTGATGAAAAGTGTCTCTTAATATGTCCTGTCTCACGCTGTCATCTCACTCTTGCTGACATTATTGTTTCAATAGGATGATGGAATTTTGGTTATCCCCACAGTTGCTGAACCTCCTCCAAAGATTGGTGCAAAGGAGATTCAGTCCGAGGACTACCAGATTAGGTCATGCTCATTTTCAAGCATAGCTAGCATGTCAGGTGGCTGTCAGGTGAATGGCTTTCTCTCTTGTGCTGCTGTACCCTAAGCACGCAAAAATTTAAATTGGCCTTGGGTACAGTTGAGTGTTGAATCAGATTTATATAATGCTATGTGCTTCCCTGCCGTAGGTCTGCGTACCAATGGGATTTCATGATAAATGCCCAGCTTCCGTGTCTTTCGTGGCGAGGCAGGGGGGTGACAGATTTTTGCTCGACACTATTCAGAGCATGTATGCATCTCTCCAGGAACAGGCAGAAGTAGCCACGAAATCATCAACATCTGGTAATGCCATTAGCAAGGAAGCATCTGCTGAAATGGCTAAAGAAAAGGTACACCCAGGATAACCTGTTGTGGATCTTTAGAGGGACATTGTTGTCAATTTCTTGAATGTAGAGTGGGCGTTTGCTGTAACCATCACTTGGCTTTATCTGCTCTATTAAGTACTTACTAAATTTTTTTATTGGAGCTTGTCACTTCTTGCATTTGTCCTGAACCCTCCCACTTTTAGACATCAGGCCTTTTATGGTGTCCATTATGCTTGATACTTGCAGAAAGTGATTAGCATTTGCATGATGCCCATAGTTTTTTTTCTCTCAATTTCAATGCTGAAACTGTTCGCCAGTACAAACATTTCTAGGCGGATCAAAAGTCCCGTTAGCACCCTATGTCAGTTACATGGTTCATCCTACCACCTCATTGCGACATCAAGAACTAGAGGAACATTAGCAAATTAGTGCTATGTATCCTATCTAACAGATTTCTAGAAAGGAATAAGGTGATGTGACCAAGTTTGTTCAGCCCTTTGGCAGGCTATGAAATTTTTTAGGATGAAGTCATTCATAAGCCTAAGAGTGAGAGTTCTGTGATGTAAGCTGGAGCAATTCCGAACCCAGCAGAAATAAGCCTAATGAACCTTCACTACTGCTGTGCTCTGTCATTTTTTGGTTATTTGGGAGCTCCCTTAATATACAGATTTGGTCCTTATACTATATGGTTTCCTCACAGGGTAACCAAGCCTACAAAGATAAACAGTGGCAGAAAGCCATTGGCTTCTACACAGAGGCTATCAAACTCAATGGTAACAGTGCGACATACTTTAGCAACAGGGCTGCAGCTTATTTGGCGATGGGAAAGTAATTTGCTTATCTATTTTCCCCTTTTTTCTACTGCCGTGCTTGTCAAATGCTTATTTTCTAATTTTAATTCTCCATCCAGCTTCCTCCAGGCTGAAGCAGATAGCAGTAAAGCTATTGATCTTGATAAGAAGGTGTGCTCTCCTATCTCAGCAACTCCTGCGTGTTTAGCTAGTATATGTTCCTGTTTAATCCATTTTAACCTAGTAAACCTCAATTTGTTTTCTTATGTGTTCAGCATACGTGTGATTTGAGTGTTCTAGTTCTCTTTAGAAATTTGTTGCTTTAGTGATCCTGAAAAAGGATGTTGTGAGGTAGATATGGAGTTAATTATTGGTAGACTTTTTGGCTTATTTTTTTGGGGGGTTTGGGAGGATAGGGGAAGAAGAATTTGGGTACTGCACTGAGGAATGAGGTTTATTAGTGGACTTGTGTATCTATATTTCATGGTAAAGAGTGACAACTGGCTGAAGCTGGTAGTGCCATATAAATGTGTCTCCTTTTTAAAGCTTGTGATTCCATTTGCTTTATAACTTGATCTAGCTCACGTTTCTTATGCTTTTCTGAGGAGAACATTCTTTCTCTTTCTTTCCCATAGAATGTGAAAGCTTACTTAAGAAGAGGAACAGCACGAGAAATGCTGGGCTACCATAAAGAGGCAATTGAAGGTGAGTCTCAGTAACTTAAGCTGATAATTCCTTCAAAAGTAAACTTTACGGTTGAATCACCTGAGCCACATGCTTCCACATTTAGAATGTTGTGAAGAAAAAGTACTTTAAGATGGTCTGTCAAATGCTACTTCAACGTGAACTAAATACTTAGTGCACTTTAGTAGGAAACTGAAGAAGAAAAGCATGTGCTGAAGGATTTAGTTGGTTTGATGGAAAATTGTACTCAATCTTTGGAGATCGAGGTGCTTGTGAAAGTGATGGCCGGAACTCATAAATGACCTGTCCATCCTAAAACTTTTGAAATATGTTGCAGTGTTCTCTTACATTCTCTAGTTTCCTTGTGCAGATTTTAGATACGCACTGGTTCTTGAGCCAACCAATAAAAGAGCATCTCAGTCTGCTGACAGGCTGAAGAAGTTGTTTCCATAGGTCTTTAGAAGGTAAACAGCTTTAGCTGCTTGTTGTTGCTGAACCCTTTGTGTCGAAGCGGGTGATCTCAGCAGGAATATGAAGAATTGAAAGATTGAAAATACGAGGAATTGAAGGCTTGCGATGAAATTCTTTCTTTTACTGAGTAATTTGAAGATGAGGAGCAACCCTTGATCTCGGCATAGTTTGGTGGCTTTAGTTTATGATATACTAGCGTTTGCGAGTCTAGTGCAATTTTGTTTAGATTATGTTGCATTCAAATTGTACCTCTCGAGCTCTTCATATTTCCGACATAACCAAATTATTTATTGGAATGATTATTCTGAAGGATGGAACCCTAATAAAGGTACTCCTGGGGTTATGCATGGGAAGCAAAGTCATCCTCTCATTCTAAGAATTAGTTCATGTATTGTGTTTAATGTGTGCTGAAAATCTTCCTTTTGGGATTTTGGATAGAAGAATGAGGTCTTCAGAAATAAAAAATGTGTTCAGTCGGGTGTTGCAAAATGAATGATTTTAGGACGTGAAACTTGCTGAGTTCTCTAGGCTTCCGCTTAAAGAAAAACATGCTTTATTCATGTTACCGTTGTAAAGCTCTGCAGAAAGATGTGGATGTGCATTTGTCACCGGCACTTACCAGCATTTTAAGGCTTGATGTTGGCGCACCAGCTTACTAATTCTCGGTAGCTGGCTCTTTTTTGTATCATTGAACCTCCACCAGCAGTTAAATCACAACTAGATTCAATGTTCCGTCAAATATCTTTGAGACCGAATTTACCACCAAAATAATAAATGTAATGATTATGCTGGAGACTGATGATATATGGACATCAAAATAGTATAAAGGACCTAATTACACCAGAAAGCTTGAAAACTGGTGATTAAAATGATGAAGAACTAGGGATATCAAAGTAGAAAGGATTTGATTGCACTTTACACGAATATAAGGGATTTCTTTCAGGGTTAACTGGAAACTAAGCCAAAGTGAACAAAATTTTTTAGAGTAAAGAACATTCATCATCCTCGCAGGCAAACAGTTCGTCAAGCTGTTCATCTGTCCACTGAAGCTGTGACACCTTCGACACAATTGATTGTTTGTAATCCTTAACTTCATCAGCTATCTGAATTTCTGGATCAAAGTGGTTCTTCGTTGAACCAGCTCTTTTGTTCCCCGGAGAGAGGGAACCCGGAAAATTCTCTTCCATTTGCTGATTATTGTTTTCGTGGAGAGTCCCTCTGTTTCTGTCTGTTCCTTCAAATCCTTTGGCAGCACTTTGCATCTGCTTGTGACATTCTTTGTCTACAATGGATGTCTCATTGGAGGTTCTAATTTTGTTGCAAATGTAGCTACTTGGAACTAGATTTTCCTTGTCCATTTGAATCTCCTTATGCAAACTTCCACCTGCAAACATGCATTCTGTGGTCCTATGATCTATGATTTCTTCAACAGTTTCTTTATATGGGATGGAAATCTTCTGTAGTGCACAAGCTTTTCTAGCAGAGGCTGATAAGTTTATATATGAAAATAATTAGCCAGGTGAAATACTAGAAGCCTTTCTCATAAACCATTAATAGTGCTACTGTCAAAAGAAAATCCTCCTAATATACAGACTTGGCATAGTACAATAAAAAGAACGGAAAAAGTCCAAATATGCCCTTCTACTATACGAAATTGAACACATTTGCCCTTCGTTAATACTTTAGCTCAAATATGCCCTTACCGTCACATAGTTGGTCCATATATGCCCTTAGAGTTATACAGGTGGCCCATATATGCCATTTTCGAAACGGAATCCACCCAAACCAATTAACTCTTTCGTTAATTGTATTAAAGTGTATTACAAACACTATTTCCTTTTCATTAGTACTTTTTTTCTTTACCTTTCTCTTTTCTTTCTTCTTTTTTTTTCTTCTCTTTTTTTTTCCTTTTGTCTTTCTCCCTTATTCGATTTCCTCAATTACTGATATCTTCTCCATTTTCGTCACCAATTTCACTTGACAAAACTGCATGAATTCCAATTACTAAGAAAATTCTCCCATAAGAATATTTTAATAGATCATATGTATGTCAATCTTTTAATTTTTACTGAACATATATTTAGTTCTAAAAAATTTAACAAAGTAAGATTGAAATAATATTTATATAACAAAAAACCCAAAAATCCAACAAAACCGAACAATCCAAACCGATATAATGGGTTTGGTTTGGTTTTGATAAAAACCGAACCAACCCGTTCCATGTACACCCCTAATTTACATAGTTAATAAAAAAAAAAATGTCCAGCTGAAAAAAAATAAAAAAAGACTAACAACTCAAATTTATAACACTACAACTTGAACTCTAGGCTTTTAATCATTAAATTATCTTTCTGGAAACAATTTAAATATTTTGGTCTTTTGAGTATTGTTAAAGGTTGAGATGTTTTTATTATTTTAAAGTTTAAACCATAATTTTTGGAACAATTTAATTTCGTTTATTTAGAGGGACAGTGAAATTGGAACTTGATTACCTTATGGAAGAATTTTCTTAGTAATTGAAATTCATGAGTTTTGTCAAGTGAAATTGGTGACGAAAATGGAGAAGACATCAGTAATGGAGTAAATCCGATAAGGGAGAAAGAAAAAGGAAAAAAAAAAGAGACGAAAAGAAAAAAGAAGAAAGAAAAGAGAAAGGTAAAGAAAAAAAAGTACTAATAAAAAGGAAATAGTGTTTGTAATACACTTTAATACAATTAACGAAAGAGCTAATTAGTTTGGGTGAATTTCGTTTCGAAAAGGGCATATATGGGCCAACTGTGTAACTCTAAGCTGGATCAGGGGATTCTCTACTTGTGTAAATGGGCTCTCCACTATTGACATCTCACATATTTTATACGCGGATGACACTTTGATTCTATGTGATGCTGCTGTTGATCAAGTTCTTTATCTTAGAGTGATTCTTTTGGCTTTCGAGGCAGTGTCGGGTTTGCATATCAATTATCTAAAGAGCCATTTGTTTGCTATCAATGTGGTTCCTAATATGCAACTTCTGGCTGATATTATGGGTTGCAACATCGGTTCTCTTCCTGCAAATTATTTGGGCCTTCCTCTTGGGGCCAAATCTAATGCTATATCTATCTGGAGTGATGTGTTAGAGAAATGCGAGAGAAAGTTGTCTACTTGGAAAAGACAATATCTCTCACTGGGAGGGAGATTGGTGTTGATCAACAGTGTTCTGGATTCTTTACCCACTTACACCATGGCTCTTTTTCCAATGCCTGTAAGTGTCTCCAAAAGGTTGGATAAATTTCGTAGGGACTTCCTTTGGCAAGGTAACAAAGATAGGAGATGCTTTAACTTAGTCAAGTGGAACACAGTCATCAGAAGTAAGAAGTTTGGAGGACTGGGGATTAGGGATTTGAAGGCGCATAACAGTAGCCTAATGTGTAAGTGGATTTGGCGTTTCAATCAAGAAGAAAACTCTCTCTGGAGGGCTGTAATTAGCTCCAAGTATGGTTTTCTTGATCCATGGACCACCAAACCTACTCCTACTCCTTTAGGACTTGGTATCTGGAAACATATCAGGATGTTGCGGGATTTCTTCATGTTGCACTCTTCAATAAAAGTGGGCGATGGTAGAAAGACTAAATTCTGGCATAATATTTGGCATGGCAACTCTCCTATTAAAGACAGCTTCCCAGACCTTTACAGAATCACTTCCTCGACAAATGCTCTCATTTCGGACTTTAGATTGGATCATGGTTGGCACATCAATTTCAGGAGAAACCTAAACGACTGGGAGGTGGATAGGTATCTGAGTCTCTTGGACTTTCTCCATAGATCCTCTTCTTCTTCTCCTGCGCCTGATTGCCTCATCTGGACATCAAATTGGAAAGGCACATTCTCGGTGAAATCATGTTATGTTATTCTGACACAATCTAACCCACTAAATACTCCTTGGCCTTGGAAACCCATCTGGAAGAGGCTGGCCCCTCCCAAGGTTAAATGTTTTTTCTGGTTGGTATCTAGAGAAGCTTGTCTCACACAAAGCAACCTACAGAGAAGGGGTATGCAACTTGTCAACAGATGTGTGTTATGTGAAGAGCAGCTGGAGGACGTCAACCATCTTTTCCTCCACTGTAAATTTACCTCCCAAATTTGGGACCTTTTCCTCAATATCTTGGGCATTTCTTGGTGTATGCCCTTTTCAACTCTTCGGTTGTTGCAAGGGTGGCACAAATTAGATATTCAACGACCTTCTATCAAAATTTGGAATACTATACCGGCTGCAATTTGGTGGTGCATCTGGAAAGAGAGAAATGATAGGTTGTTTGATAGTAGGAAGAATAGAGTTATTGATATTAAACTCAACTGTATTGTTTTGCTTAGTTTTTGGTGTAACATGGCAGATGTACGTGTTTCTGACACTTGTGCCATGTTTGACTTTATTAGCACACTACACAATTTGTAACGTAGTTTCATTTCTTGTAACCGATCCAGCAACTTCTTCTTGCTGGTTTTATTATATATAATGCTCTTTACCGATCAAAAAAATATATATATATAGACCAACTATGTGGCGGTAAGGGCATATTTGAGTTAAAATATTAACGAAGGGCAAATGTGCTCAATTTCATATAGTACAAGGGCACATTTGGACCTTTGCCCTAAAAAGAAATATCAACCCTCACCAATTTCAGGATCACTGTGGTTGACTTCATATGCTGTTGAGCTGTGCATTGATGGAGGTCCACTTTCCTTGCAGAAAACCTGAAGGTATGGAACTTGAAGCTCTTAACTCAAAGATTTATCAATCATGAATTCATGACGCAAGTTTTTTATAAGTCGATCATGATACAAGATTATGATTATGAACCTTATGTGGTACCTAGTGAGTGTGCATAAGAGGCTANACCACGTCCATCACACGGGCAAAGTAACATAACCGCTTATGCAGACTATTTAGGCACACAGAAGTATGGAGATCACGAACAAATAAACGGTGATACTACTATTAATCTGATAGTCCTCAGCACGACTTCCACCAATTTTTTACATTTACTATGCAAGTTGCGTTAAGAAGAGATGAGGTCAATTGACAGTGAAAAGATATAGTTTCCATTTTTTGTTTAACTTGAATTTTGAAACACAAAACCTTATCCATATAATACGTGGTGGAGCGATCAATAAATTTTGCCTACATGGGGACCTGATGAAAGCACCTATATAACACTTTCTCTAGCAATTGTTGTTTCATAAAAAGAAATGAACCAAGCCTATGATCATTTATGTGTCAACATACAGGATTTATAGCTGGTGCTTATAATTGAGCTTTATGATCACATGGAAGGCATTCCCAATGGAACCTGGTTTTTCATCCCTAAAACACAACTTCTG